AAGGTGCTTGGGCGCGAGCACCCCGACACGCTCGGTAGCGTGTACTGCCTTGCTCACCTACTTGCGACGCTTTATGACTATAGAGAATCCCTTGATCTATATAGCAGAGCGTGTGACGGGTATAGCGTTGTTCTTGGAGAGCACCACCCCACTACCCGAGCATGTCGCCAACACCGTAGCGAAGTGCTTTTGTCACATGAGCAGTCTCGACTAGCAAGTTCTAGACGGGGAGGTCGAAGCATAGGAGAAGCTGAGCGGGTAGTATTTAGCTAGATGCACAGCTTGTATCACCTTATTAGTGTATTTAGCAGCATAACAAATTTATTTTAGAGTTGCAGCGCCGGGAATAACAGCAGCTCGAAATGTCACTCTCAGCGCCACAACCCCCAGCCACAGTGCGCAGTAAGAGTTGCAGACATCTCAGCACGCTACTGTAGCTGAAAGCTCGCTTGAGACGCACGGCCGGGCAGCTGCGTTGTGACGATTCTACCTTTCGCGCGGAGAAATTGCCGGACTCCACACTCCATGCCTTATATTAACTTTCTCGGGCGAGGGTCTTCATCTTCGCCTTCTCAGCTCGCTCTCTGACCCGCCGAGCTCTTGGCGAATGTACGTAGCCGCAAACGAGCAGGGGGGTTCTTAGAGAGGGTTGGTCGACAGCACTAACAAAAAGAGCGATAGCATAGTTAGCAACGCGTTCTCTAATGTCGGATGGGGATGTAGTAGGAGGACTAGTGCTAGAGTATACATGAGCATACCGGGCGTCCGGAAGAAAAAGTGTCCCGTTACACCGGGCGTCCCGGCACGCGAGGATTGACATTAGTTACCTCGCAACTTTTCCTAACTTTGCGTCTACCTACCGCTTATCTGAGTATAAGCTAAATGTGTGTTAATCTATTACTACACAATCCATGAAAATGCTAGCCGGACTGAAAATGTTCAAAGACCAGTTCGTTGATAAGCAGTGTCGTGCCCCACAATGAGCAAGACCTTAGTCAATCAAAATGCAGCACCACAGCTAATCAGGATGTGCTCAATACTGAGAGATACAATGAGTAGACCATACTCCTTGGTATATATCAATATATCGATAGACATTGCCTCCCTACAGTTCATTGTATTCAACCTTACATTCATAAAAGACACTATTCGAAGACTTCCTTAGCAACGTATTTCTAACTAGACCTTGATCTTGTTTACAGCATCCTATCACTCGTCCGAAGGAATTAACTCTCTAAACGTTAATACTAGGAGTCTTCTACATAATGGTCCAACTGAAGACCATTCTTACATGACATGAGTTACCATTCTATCAACATATCAGCACACAAGTATGATGCGTGGGCCTACCCAAGTGATTTAGCACAGACCCTAGTACATATGGGGCGGGTCCGTGCGACACCGATAATTGTGGTACTGTAACTACTTGGGTGGGGCACCTTCACGGATGCTTGTTCCCGCCAGTCACAGCCCTCAGGCGCAGTCGATTCTGTCTGGTTATGTCAACATTCACAGGCCAGCCACGTTCCACAGTCTCCTAAGCCGATAGGTACGCGAACATACTCTGTATGTAGTACACACCACACAGTACTGAGAATACCAATCAGACTAAGGTGATCTATCAATTAACAAGGCACTGCTCACGAAAAGGTTATTCCATTCCGACTATCCTAACTCCCCGTATCTAGAACCTTCGACAACTTCGTGTACTAGTGTGCCTAATATCTATTAATACAGCAACTATCAAGGTATCAAGATCTAAGCATGTTTCCATTCTTTGTTTGGCCCTCAAACTCTAATCACGGCGCGATTGAAGAGTTCGCTCGTACCTCACTAATGCGAATAGTCTCCTCAGCCTCTGGAAAACTTTTCGTCATGCGCTCAAGCACACTCTCAGTGTACTTCGCCCATTTCTGCTGACACCCAGAGCAAAGAAAAACTCCACCAAAGGTATGATCCTGCGGCGCGCCATATATCTCCCGATAGTTGCATTCAGAGCAAAACGCCTGGTCGGCTTCTTCCAACATTGCTCTAAGGCCATTGAACAATAAAAACTCCTCTCGCGCGAGGACGTCACGATACTGCTCGAGACTTCGGAGTTCCCGCCATTTGATGTCCTTCTGCTCATCGAGTCTATTCCATAGCTTGACGTTTTTTCGTGTTTGCGCTATGACGTGCTTTGTATCAGGTTTACCTAGGGTAAGGCCCTCCTCCACAAAGCGATATCGTCGCATCGTCACATGGATTGGGCCACCAAAGTAACGGAGGAAGTTGATGACGCACTTCCTCTCTGGCTTTTTCGCCCACGCTACATCCAAAGCCCAGAGCGCCTCGCGGCATTTATGAAACGCTGACACGCGCTTGCTTTCGGGGACATATGCAAATGTACTGTTGACCTCTCCCTCAGAGCGGTGCTTATAGTAGGCCACCCCATCGTACATTGTATTACCAATTTCTGCCATAATATCAAATTGTTCAGCGGTGAACCAGATATGGTCAAGGTTGTTGCAAGCTAAAGCAGCACCAATAGTAAAGCGGGCAAGTGCGTCGGTATCCCGCATGCGAAAGAATTGCCAAGGACTTTTAGACAGGGCGTTACTATAACGGCGGAATAGCATAGTGTTGGTCTGGTCGCTTGACTTTTGCGAAGAGATCAATATAAAGCAGCGGTATTCACGGCACATCTCGGCACTAATAGCGGGAGTATGTTAGTGGAGACGTGCTTTGAACGTTGGGAGTACTTGATGGTAGAGGCATACTGGCCTACTGTTCCTCCACACAACGCATTCAACACTTCAGTGAGGCTATAACCCAAAATCCTGTCATCATATACCACGTCAATGAGACTACCCCGAAATTCTGCGATGATACCCACGACGATCGTGCGCATGAAAGCGACATATCGAGACCAATTGGTGTATTCGGGGATCACGCAGCGAGTGTACTCCCAAGCGGTCGCAAAAACCTCCTCTTTAACACGGAATGGAAGATCGACATCCTTCAGGTCATTCGCAATGTCAGGTGGGTAGTACCAGCGCTCGTTGACCACGACAAGCTTCTCGGTGATTGTTTCATCGTACTGTGGGTCGGGGTTTTGATTGTTCTTGGAAAACGCGTTTTGGTTCCCTTGAGTCATGGTGTAATAATTGAATTTCTCAATCATGCAAATAGGTACTGAAGCAAAACCGTGCCACCATCTTTATATCAAGGAGCAACTTTATTATTCCTAGTGTTTTGGTAGCGTACAGTCCCGCCAGTGTACAGCGGCATGTGATTGTCAAAAAGCAAAAATTCATCCCGAGTGGTATATCATCCTAGCAACTATACTACGTCCCTTGATGTGAAGCCGCCACTCGTGATAGAGAAGATCTTAACCCAAATGTCGTACAAGCTCGGGATTGTCCTGGTCGAGAATGACGGGGTTCGGGAATGAGCGGATACCGAGTGGATTGGCAGCCACAATCCACTCGAGATGCTAGCTTTGTTGATGAGCAAGACTAGATTCGTTCACCAGCCCCGCAAATGGTTCCTTCAATGCCGTCACTCGAGGCGAGCTTGAGTAGTGGCACCGCGTATGCACGTATTAGAGTCATTAGTAATTGCGGTTCCGCCTCTGCATCCAGATGCACGTTCTGAACAGCCCCATCTTCTCTATACGGACTAGCGCCAGCTGTCTATTCTCCACAACAACCAATATGACTGGTCATTTCTCAACCAAATCATGACTCGACTTTTGGGATGCGGCCTGTAGGGATGAAGCCGCGATCGCTGATGGTTGTACATACTAATGCATGGTGAATCAGTGCATGCGCGCTTGACATGCGAGGTTCAACGCCATCGTGTCGTTCAGGAAAGTAACGCAAATCTAAAATTGGCCAAGCAATTTACGCAGCGCTACGCATCGGGTCGCTGCTGTGGAGCCCGATCTTACCAAGGTTGGCAGTCGCGGCTCTCGAAATCGTTTTGCTCGATGACAGCGCAATGAACGCTTGAAACGATTTTGTTCACTTTCTTAAACAAATTCACCTAGTCTTCTTTGATAGTATTGCGGGTAAGTATGATTGGCAGTATACATCTTCGCCCATGTCCGAGGGACGATCCCGGCTAGGTCAAACAGTGAGCGTCACCACAATGAATGTATTATGAGCTCACGCTTACTTCTTATGTCTTCTGCTTCATATTTAGTTGTGTAAGTGTATGGCTGATGACGGCACCACCTCCAACGTGAGCTGTTGATACTAGTGAATCTAGCAAAAAGCACTCTATCCCTTTCCATTGCATCAACGACCGAGATTCTATCCTGATAGTCATGTGCTGCTGCAAATTCAAAGATGCAGATCTATTGCGAGGTAGCTGTAACCCAGATCTTTTGGATGTGACTAGGATGTTGGGCAAAGAAAATGAAGCCCGATATGGCGCCTAAGAATTATGGTGTCAATAGAAGCCCAAACCACTCTCTCTAACGAGATATTTAGGCTGAATAATGCTGCGGAGTGAGTCTAACACGGCACTGACGACCACAGAGTATGTGTCTATGCACTAGATTGCATTGTTAGTGACTCTACACACATCACAGAAACTATATTTATCTCCATGTAATAATATCTGACACAATATGCAAGTGACGCGGCCATTTGTCCTGACTCTGCTCGATATGATTGACTGCATAGCCACTGCTCACTATGCAATCTTTCTATCTTTATAGCTCAGCATTCTTTTGCATGTCTTGCCTAGCTATCTGCTAAAGCAGTCCGCCACAGGCTCTTAGATTGCATAGATGTCCTTGGACCGATCTAGAAAATAGCCTGTTAGCTCTCACGACCCTGTTCAGCCTCTGTAGACGCTTTTCAACTATACCTATAACCTACTTTCCCACTTGCTATGACGAACACCAGCAGTTTCCTTAACGTCGTTGGTATCCGCTACGGCGTCGGCAAGCGGATTGGCGAGGGCTCGTTTGGCACCGTTTTTGAGGGTGTTAACCTGCTTAACCAGCATCACGTTGCTATCAAGTTTGAATCTCATAAGAGCAACACCCCTCAACTTCCTAATGAATATCGCGCGTACAAAGCCCTCGTAGGCTGCCGTAAGTTTTCTCGCTGTTTCAGCTTTTCATCCTGGTGTCGCCCGATTCATCAATGCAAGGCACTTTCTGTGTATAGGACGATTCCTTAGGACAAGTCTATACATACGCATCTGTACAAAGCGTGCTGAGAGTTCTTATGGGCTCCTGAATAGCACTATCCCACTTTACTAGAAACAACTGCTCCCGCTCAACCTACTCCCTAACTACCTCGAGGACTCAACTGACATGATGCAGCTGGAATTCCTAATGCTTATTACTTTGGCCGGGAGGGCCTGCACAACATGCTCGTCATCGACTTGCTTAGTCCTAGTTTGGAGGACCTATTCCAACAATGCAAGAGGAGATTTACAATAAAAACTGTGGTTATGATCGCTAAGCAGATGGTGTGTTCGTCTAGCGCTCTCTCTATCTTCTAAGTCTAAACTATGTGCAGTTGTCGAGAATCCAAACCATCCACGAAAAGAATCTTATCCACCGCGACATCAAGCCCGACAACTTTCTTGTTGGTCGATTCAATACTAAGAGCGCTAATACAATTCATATTGTAGATTTTGGTATGGCTAAACAGTACTATAACCCTAAGACCAAGCAACACATTCCGTACAAAGAACGCAAGTCTATCACTGGTACAGCACGTTATATGAGTATCAATACCCATTTTAGACGTGAGCAGTCTCGCAGAGACGACCTGGAAGCTCTAGGCCATGTAATTATGTACTTCCTGCGAGGAAGTCTTCCATGGCAAGGCCTGAAGGCTGCTGCCAACGAGCAGAAATACGATAATATCGGGAAGATGAAGCAAACAACTCCTATCGAAGACCTTTGCAATGGATTTCCTCGTGTGTCTATCTATATTGTTTCCACGAAGTACAGCTAATAAATAGCAGTAGAGTTTAGCAAGTACCTTATCTACGTCCGTAACCTAGATTTTGAAGATACGCCTGACTACGACTACCTGCGGGGACTGTTTACTCAAGCGCTTATAAGCGTTGGTGGCTTTGAGGACGGTGAGTATGACTGGATGAAGCCGAACAATCAAATAGGCTGGAAAGCCATGGGGATCAACCCGGTAGTTCCACAGATGCCCCACTTCAATGTTCGCCAGAACTCACCTACCGCCGTCGTTATTCGGAACCAAAGTAACTTGACGCATCTGCCCGCGGAGCACTACCGCTTAATTGAGTCCCTCACCAACCCTGGAGTAACGCAACCTGTACTCAGACGCAACTGGGGTCAAGCAGTGATGAGCCAAGCTCAGTTCCAATACAGCCAGTCGAGCCTGGGCCAAAATCAATACTATGCAACACATTCTCATGATACAAATGCAGAGCCATCACAACAGCAGCGGGGGCCTAAGGCAGAGGACTTTATGCAGAAGTTTACAAATACACTATGCTGCAGTTGGAGCCGCCGATAGCAAGTTTGCTGCCTTAACTACAGAATTCCTTGTATGTTTCAATGTAATACAGTACCCATTAAGTCAGCGGCACTTTTGACCTACATCTCTCGGTCTGCGGATAGCAAACAAAATCAGAATCATTCTTCTTCTATTTTTTCTCTCAATGCTATCGTTACTAAATCTCTCCCCTCTTCCCACATTGAATCGAGCAGAGGGTATATCGCATGATTATATTTAGTAGAGGTAACGTGAAGGAGTGAAATCTTCTTAGTATCTGTTCATAATGCCGTGATGCAGCGTCACTGATAGTGTAACATCTATTTTATAGAGTGGAATTGTCTTATGCAAAGTTGATACATTTCTATACTTAACTAATCGTATGATAGATTTTTCTTCTCGACACACGTGACATGGAAGAGATATTAGCAGTATTTTTGAGACGCTTGGGGCATGTAATAAGCTTAACACAGCCCTTTCTACTCTATTTAAAGCTATTCGAGACAGTGCCATGATAATCGAAAGCATGACGTTGCATGTGAGTCGGAGTATCTAGATGCTCCTCACATAGTCTACATTCCTCACCTGTGCTTTTGTTGAACCTCGCTAGATGTGATAGTTTGAAGTGTTTAGTGAGGTCCCCTGGTGACGAAAAACGGTACACACGTTTTTCCACGGTGAGAGCTTCATTACCTAGGCATATGAAGCATATCGTTGGTCTTCCTTCCTCTGTGAAAACCCGCTTCGCCCTTTCAATAGCGATTTTACCCACGTCAACAGTCCCTTGAGATGTATAGCTGGCGCACGGGCGTGCTTTTCGGTTTCTCTCCATCTCCCCTTCCTCACAACCGCAGTAGTCTTGAACTGCCTTGATAGCTTTAACTAATCGTTCAGCTTCCTCCTCACGTGATAATCCAGGCAACGACATGAGTGATATGATCAGCCTTTTGTGGTTCGGTGTTCGTTCAGAACACAGCTTTAGGCCAGTCTTCATTTTTTCCTCAAATGCTCTACCCGAAAGTTGTCGCTATATATCTTCCTCTACTTGCTTCTTGTCGTAGTCTTCCCTGATACGCTTCCTTAGTGCGTACCTCTTCTGTTGCTTTTCGTTACGGATCTTTTTCTAGAGCTCCCTATATTCTAGTAAGAGCCTGTCCAGCTTTTGGAGCTCTTTTTAGAGTTTAAGGATTCGCGGATTTTGATTAATAGTCCGGGATTGCTCTTTTGTAAGAGATCGTGGTCGATTTGGATCGACCGATCGGCTCATGCTGCATGCCGCCTGTATGAGTTTTTCCTAAGGCTGTGTGCCCCGTACAATAGCTTGTGCATCTACCGGAATGTGTCTCGAGGCATAATGATCCTGGAAAACTTTATCCGTCGAGTGATTCATGATAATGTTTCTCCTATTAACGCTAATATCTCCTATGATTATAGTTCAGTTAATTTCCCATTTTTTAGTAGTATCTTTTACATTGGCTTTTCACATACTATCCTTATCGAAGGCATTCCCTATCCCGTATCGGAGATTGTATGGCCTCGTCACGTCTTTAAATCCTGCGATTTCACCGACGTCTTTCATATATGTTTTGATAGTAGAGTATGGTAATGGCTCGTCGCTTATTACACGTTTTGTTGCTGTCTTTTGGTGTTGACGGAAAACCCAGAGTGCACTCGCTTCCTTTTTGATAGGCACAACGAGTTCGTTACACCCAGGTCGAATGTCGAGTTTGAATAACCCCTCTGGGGTCAAGTTAGAATTCAGAAAGACATCGTTGGCAAACATGAGGCCTAGCAAGAAGACATGGGGGCTCATGCAAAGAGAGGGATCGAAAGTGATTTCAGGAATTATAAAAGTGTTCCTGCTACGTTAGCGGATTCTGCGTAGTTGCGGAAGCTGTTCAGATATCTGTATATATACGATGGTTTGGCCCCTAAGTATTTCTTAGTAAATGTGTACGTTAATTCTATTAAGATGTTATGTGGGCCGCCGCTTGGATTTCGAAGGACGGTGATTTTAACATCTCCATAGCGCAACCCAAGGAGAGCTTTTGGACGATTTGCAGTGATGAAACCCCCTTGCATGAAGAAGCATGTTTGGATGCGGTTTCTCCCCACCTGGAACTTCTTCTCCACGGTCGTGAGCGTTGTTTGTATGATCTCAAGTACGTCTTTTGCGTCCATACAAGGTTTCTCTCTCGGTTCACGACTTAGGCCAAATTGCTGAGCCAGCTCGTTTGTCACCTCGTAGCCACGTTAGCTCTTCTTCTAGTGTCTACTTAGCTAAACAGAACGAGACTGTAACTAACATGAAGAGTGGATCTCTGTAGGTGGCTATCCATGTCTTCCCCTACCAACCTTCTGTATACTCCGAGAAACATCTTTCGGTACGTATCAAGTGAAGATGCTGTTTTGATTCCACGAAGCCTTCTTCCAGCTGTTCCTTGCTTTTGTTTCAACTTCCACATGAAAAAACTAGAAACATCGCCAGCTGTGATGGACTTCATGAAATCTTCAGGGTCTTCTTTGATAAGTTCACAATATCTATGTAATATTTAGCGTCGGAAGCTTCAGCACTTTTTGACATAGAGAAGAGTGAGGGGGAAAGAGAATAAGTGAATACTGACTTACTGGCGCCATTGTGATTCGATGTTGTTAAGTTGCAGATTCGTGCTTTCTGCATATATGTTCATAGTCTTCACTCCGTTGATCTTGTTCGCATGAGCCCGGTAAAAATCTGGCGAAAGACCAGGTTCATCTTCAGATATTTCGTCGTCGTTGAACAGATTTGATAGTAACCGTGGCTGGCTTCCAGTGTCGCTCTCTACACTCGTACGATCAGCCACATATTCTAGGCTGTCGTGTGAAGATATAGTGGATTTTAGTAGGGAGCTTTTTTGGTAACGATCCATGGCAGCCATTTACTAGCGCATTTGTCGACAGTAAGAGGAAAGGATTGATAAGATGGTAAAGTCGATATAGTGACAATAGTGAAAACGCAAACAATAGGTGGGCGATTCGAGTTTTAGCTATGATCACGTTGAGGAAATTTGGATATTTGTGAGTCTTCTACCCCTCCGTACGAACGAGCGCCAAAACTTAAGAAGAATAGATGATGGTGCAAGAGAAGAAGGTACTGATTGACAAACTAGACGCACAGTAACGACCAATCTTAAGTACGCAATTAGTTTAATGCCTATACCTAGAAGAGTTTCTTGTGTCTGAATAAGCATAGCAAAATAGTATAGGGATTGCCCTTGCAGAACTAAAGGGGGTGAGAAAACCATGAGCTTATAACTAGTAAGTAAAGACAAGGTTTTGTTCCTGCTAATACGCTAATACTTGCACTAATGATTACACTAACCTTTACCTGGTAATCCGAACAAGTGCGTAAGCCGCTGAGTCACTAGATATAATAGGGAGGTTTAACAGCAAATTAGTATCTGAAACTTGCTCTAGTGTCTACTAAAAACAGTAACTTATTTGCCATCTTATTTTTTAAGGGAGTTTAAGTTTATAAGGTACTTCTATAAAGTTAGAGGTAGGGTACTAAGTAGGGTCTAGGTTATATCTAACCTACTTTACTTAATACTTTAACTTTAAGT